CGCCGGTGCCGACCCGCCCCGGTGAGTACGCGCCCCCGCCCCGCAGCCCCGGGGCCGCCGGGAGCCGCCGCGGCCGGGCTCGGGGAAGGGACGGCGGGCAGCAGACCCGGAACTTTCCCCGCTTCACCGACTCCCCGCCCCGGCCCGGCTGCCCACTAGCCGAACAGGTTGGACTTCACAGCTGTTGGCCTCTGCAGGAAACAGCGGCCTGGGTGCCCGCTGACCCCACCGTCCCGAAGTAAAACTAGTTTTCTGTTTCTGTTCCTGAAAAATGCCACAGGCCCGCAAGTGTGTTTGGCCCATGTGAAACATTTCTGCTGCATGGATTCATTCTACCCTTTGTGGAAGAGCGAGGGGCGTGTGTGTGTGTGTGTGTGTGTGTGTGTGTGTGTGTGTGCGCGCGCGCGCTGTAGAGGGAGAGGGAGAACATGCATCATACGCTTGCCTTGGTTTTGCTGCATGGATATTCAGAAATAAATGAGTTACAGTCTGTTAAACATAAGGTCGTGCACTCCCCTCCTTATGAAGCCAGGGAGTTTCTATGGTTTGGTTCGGTTTTCGTAATAAGTTCTGACATATTTCGTAGTAAGTTCTGACGTAATAAGACCCTGACATATTCTTTAACAGAATATGTTAGCAAACGCTACTGAAAGAGCAGTGTGCACATCTTGAAGGGACTCTGGTCATTGTTCAGTCACTGCCGTTTTATTCGTTGGGAACTTGTCTTTCTGGAGCAGCTTCAAACCTACTTCCCTTTTGGTTTCTGGGTTATGAACGTGCCTGGATTGCTGTCCCACAGACTGCATGCCGAAAAAGGGTGGGGGGGGCGATTAAAGGTTGAAACAGTGACAGGAGAGCAGAGAAGTGATTTGTGGATGTAGATTAGTTTAGCACCACAGGTGCCATCTTGGTATCTCTGCAAAGCCACTTAGGCTGGTTTCATTGATTGCCTTAAAAGGCTGCTTTTTATTTAAAACGCTCTATGGTCTTCTGTACTGGACTGAAAGAGACCAACTTCCCTTTTGTTATTATTGCTGTTTATGTTCTTAAAACCCATATTCAGTGGCTGCATTATGTAAAAATGCTATGCCTCATCTTCAGCTCCTCACATTTGTCTTTTATTATTATTGTTATTATTATTATCATTATTATTAATTTTGAGGTGATAGGGATGGAACCCAAGGCCTTTTGCAAGCCAGTCCTTCTAACACTTGTCCTTTTTCTTGGTCTTTTTTGAGACAGGGTCTCCCCATAGCCCTAGCTGTCCTGGAACTCACTATGTAGACCAGGCTGGCCTTGAACTCACAGTGATCTTCCTGTCTCTCCCTCCCAAGTGCTGGGATTAAAGGGGAGTGCCACCATGCCGGGCAACACTTTTCTTATCTATCACTTTGAGATAAACTACTAATACCTATCTTTACTCCATGACTGGTCCAAGAAAATATGTACATATTTGATTTATCCAGTTTTCTACCATGTCTCTTTTTACAGAGTTGGATGTCCCATTATAACCAAGTCTCTGGAAAAGAATTATTTTTTAAAAAAATATTTATTGTTTTTATTTTATGTGTATGAGTGTATTGCCTGCATGTACTTAAGTCAGAAGAAACACATCAGATTCCCCTGGGACTGGAGTTATGACGGTTATTAGCCACCATGTGGGTGCTGGGACTCGAACCTGGGTCCTCTGCAAGAGCAGTGGGTGCTCTTAACTGCTGAGCCATCTTTTCAGCTCCTGGAAAGGAGTTCTTAATGTTTTTCTCTAACACAACACTGGTCTGTTATCCATTCACTCGTCAACCATCTGTTTATTTGTTTATCCATTTATTCACCCAGCAGAAAACATTGAGTACCAGGTACAGGTCACCACTTGGTTCTTTATTCTCAGTTCAGTGGAACTTTATTCTGTGTTTTACACTTCACAGATGGGAACACAATAGTAATTAGAGAATGGACTTTGGCAGTCTATAGAAGCAGGTGAGCCTGTTTATACAGGTTGGCAGCTGTATGACCATGGGCCAATTCTGACTTATGGAATCTCTTGTTTTCTCACTAGTAGATACAAATGGTTGGTTTTAGAACGAATTGAGAAAATACATTAAGTGTGCTTTTGAAGAGCCCAACACATACTAAGCACTCAAAAATGTTGAGAATAGGTATGTCCTCCATCTCTGCTGAAGTTCTGATACTGTGAGTTCCATCTCAGGAAATGGTGATTTTATTCTGGATTTTGCCTAGATCACATGTCCACACCCAATCCATCTGTAACTCTTGCCCATCTCTTTGCATGTAGAAGCTGAGCTTTTTAGACTGCCTGGACCTCTCTCTGACTGGTCCATGTGACTCATCTCCTTCCTGGCACCTTCCTTGTTAGTGCCTCTGCTTCTGCTCCTTGCCTTTCTGCAGAGAATTTGGGCCCAGACACAGTGGCCCTCTGACCCCAAGTCAGACCATATCACTCCTCTGCTACGTGTTTCTCTCAGAGTGAGCCTTCACAGGGTGGCTTTCAGACCTGACTGTGGTCAGATACTCCCTCAGATCTCATCTTTTTCCCATACCCCATGCATTTTCATCAGGTGCCTTTTACTTCCTTCAGCTTTTTAAAACGCTGTCTTTTCAATTGCTTCATATTTGTCCCTTCCAAAGAAATCATCAGACATGCCCAGAAACAGGGATTTGATAGTAACATTCTTATCCAGAAGCCGCTCTCTCTGAAATGGGATCCTCAGGGTGTTTCTGTTGTTACCTATCCATCTATTTATTCACTTATCAGCAAACGTTCACCACGTAGCTGCCGGGTTCACGGAACTTTAGCATACAGGCTGAGAGTGGTAGATACCGAGCAAATGATTGGATGAATGGTATCTGGAGTGAAAGCCGGGCTTCACTGTCCTCTGTATGTGACAAAATCAGTGTCATGTTCACAAACTTTTGATGGCTTCCCTTCCTCTACTCAGTGAAATATAGACTATCACTTTCCTGACAAATTTCCTTGAGCTGTGTGTGTGTGTGTGTGGGGGGGTGTTCGTTTCTTCCGTTTTTCCCCTTTCATGTTCCTTTGAAATGCTGGTTTATATTAAAATATGTGACATTTTTATTATCTAGTATAAATCTGCATCTCTTTAGAGTTGGAACTGTTATGGAAGCCCATGAGTGAGCAGTTCTAGCCTGTGGATACCAACATTATCATCATAGCTACTGTGTGAAAAGGAAAGGCTTCCACAGTATTAATGGTGACATTAGCCCATAATTACTGATTACTGTTATTACTGGTAAAGGAATTAAGGGGCATGGACTTGTCTTCTTCTGAGATATAGGTGGAAAATCACAGCATGGACATCACATCAGTAGTACACTGCAAAAGCACCATGAGACCAAGCCAGCAACTTATGCTGATGCTCAAAAAAAAAAAAAGGGAAATCACCCACAATCCTGTGGCATTTGATTCTTGGTTCTTTCAGATCATGCCACCAAGAGTCATGCTGAATAGTGACAATCGACCCCTTCATCCTGAAGTACTGGGAATCCTTTATAGCGGGTGGTTATGTTGTTGGAAGCTTTCTGTCCAATGTGTAAAGGGCAAGCTTTTGTTCAGGGAAGGCATAGTGAAGAGAGTTGATGCTGGGAGGTTTACGTCTGATCCCAGCTCTGACATAGACTAGCAGCAAGCTTTGTAGTAGCTACCAAACTCTTAGTCAGAACATCAATATTTGTGAAGTGGGGAAAATAAGAGCCTCTCACTGGGCTGCTATGGCATTTGAAAGAGGATTACAAAGCTCATCAATATAGTGTCTGTTGTCTACTTACTCAGTGAATGTTAGCTGTTAGTGATGATGGAAATGTGGAGCCTGATCCTGTGGGATGGGAAGGGACTGTCAGTATTGTTAGGGGCTGAGCCATTGAGCAGTCTCTGACGAGGCTGGCTGTCCTCCTTTTTTCTCTTTTCCTTAGCAGAAGTTGAGTGTCGGGGGCTCTGCCTTTTTGCCAGCTCACTAAATAATAAGAACTTTTCTGAGTGTACCACTGAGTTTATTCAGTAGGTGTCCATTGATTGCCCACTATGAGCTCAGCAATGTGTTCTGCTCTGGAAGAAAATAGCCCCTATGATCTCTCTGAGGAGGATCCAGTGAAAAAAATAAACCCTTAAGCAGATGATTTCGCTAGGACCTGATAAGAGCTGAGATAAAGGCATTCCCACATATGGTTGAGGAACTGCAGTTCTTTTAAAATGAAAAGGTTTGCAAACTGTGTGCCTAGTAGCACAGGGAAATCTTAATCATAGATTTTAACAGTGGAGTCAACAGACCCTATTGTCCATGAAGAGGCTTCATATGAATTATAGAGGGTTTTGGTGCTCTGGATAATATCAGGATATCCAAGGAACTGGAACGGAGGGCCACAATGACTAGGCAAGCTTCTGATAACCTTGTGTCATGAAATAGGGCTAAACAAAGATATCATCCAAGTTACTATATAAGTGCTTAAAATTTGGGACCGTCTAGAAAATACCATTTTAACTTCTGTATAATAGGGAAAGAAGTTTATTCTAACGTTTATTATGGAAAAATCAACTGATCAATGCCAGGACCCTGCTTCATTCTGCTAGAATCAGTCACAGAGCTATTAGTGGAGGAAATCAATTGGAAGCATAACAGGAAATATCTTACCAGGAGAAGTACATCCAGTCCTGATAAATGAGAAAGATTAAGGTCTAGGGATAGGTAGGTCTGGATTTAAATTGTGCCTTTTTCATTTGTTGGGTATATGAATTAAATGGGCAGCAATTGCTCCAAGTCTTCATTTTTCTTCTTTGTAACATGAAAGCAATAGTAACATTCACAGTATAGCTTGGAATTAGATCATATGCTCATGTAAGGCTACTTCTCAGTTCTATAGTCTCTCTCCTAAAATAGTGTAAGTGCTATGTGCAGCTGTCTCCAAAAGTTTTTGGACATTCTCACTTGGCTTGGACGTATGGGCATTGTATGACCCACGAATCAAGATTCTGAAGATAGTAACAACATCGCAGCACTGCAAGCCAGACCTCTGCCTAGTATTTATTAAAAAAAAAAATCCAGGGCCTCAGTGTTCTCAGTCCTGCTCCTCGTCCTCCTGCGGTGAGGGAGGAGGTGGTGGTGGCAAATACAGCAGAGCTCTCACCCGCAGTAGCAGGAAGAGAAATGGAAGCGTTATCCATGTCTGTGTGCTAGGCCTGTAGGATGGTCTTTAAACATAGTTTATGAATTCTTTGAGAATTTCATACAGTGTATTTTAGTCATATTTAGTCCCTCCCTCATCTCCTCTTAGATTTATCTCCACCTCCTCACCACCCAAACTTTGCTTCCTCTCTCTCTTTTTTTTAAGGCCACTGAGTGTCTAGTTTGAATTCTTCAAATATTCTTGGGGTCCATCCCCTGGAGCCTGGTCTTTTTGTATTCATCCACCACCTCTGGCTCTTACAGTTTTCCTGCAGGCTCTTCCCATATGATCCCAGAGCCTGGGCTGGGGAGAGATGTGATATAAGTCTCCCTTTCAGGGATGAGCACTCTGAAGTCCCTTGTTCTCTGCACGTTGATCAGCTGTGGGTCTCTGTGTTAACTGCCGTCTTCTGCAAGAAGTTTCTCTGATGATGGCTGAGAGATACTCTATGGACATAACAAGTCATCAGGAGCTGGTGCTGGGCCAGACTACCTGAACACACGATCTTGGAAGCTAAGCAGGGCTGGGGCTTGTTAGTACTTGGATGGGAAACTAGTCCTTCTTTAAGATTCAGGAGTTCTTAGGATTGTGTGTGTGTGTGTGTGTGTGTGTGTGTGTGTGTGTGTGTGTGAATTTCTTCCAGGTAGTAGCTTTTGAACATTTCCATGAAATTGCAGCAACAGTGGCCCACATGGCATTCACTATTTTTCTCCGGCATTTGCTCCAGTGTTTGGTGTGAGAACCACATGTGTGTACTGCTGTTGTGGGTGACTCTTGTGACAGTCTCTATTCCAAAGCAAACTGGAGGTGCAGCTCCTGGGAACAGATATTTCAGAGTGTTCATGAGGATCCCCTGGGACTTGAAACCACCTAGGAGACTTGTGAATCCAAGGTCCAGTGTGGGTTTGGGGAATTGTGTTGCCAATCCTATTGCATATTTACGTTGTTTTTGAAAAACAGCTGCAACAAATCTTCATTAAGTTAGATTAGGCTTTAATTGACATTCATGAGCCAGGAATGTTGGGTTGGGGTTTAGAGCTTTGGAGCCTTTCTTCAGATCTTCTGCTGACTTCCAAGCACTTCAGGCTTGTGTCTTCATATTTTTAAGTATAAAATGAGAGTGTTCATATGTAGCTCCCTGCCCCTCTTCAAGTTCAGGAATGTGAAGGATCCTTTCACTTACATACTTCTTCCTGGAAATAGTAGGATGTATTGCAGTGTTGGTTTGGCCTAATTGCCTCTAGAGAAGACTGTTCCTCTAGAAAGCATGCAAGGTTTGACATCTGGGACTGGTCCCTGGACCTCCCTGGAGTGCCTGGAGCTAACCTGGCTATATGCTGGGGGTGGCTGTCCTGGCCTGGGGTCCGACCCTAGAGGCTCAGAGAGGAACTCTCTTGCTGGTGACTCACAATTGATTCTCAATTCCTTCCCTATAAAATGACTGGGTGGGAATGCTAGTAGCAGTCCTTGGAGCTGTTCTGGCCAAAAGCTGATGTAATGACGTGTGCAGACACCCAGCACTGCTGGCAAATGCCGTGCCGTGGACCTCGCAGGGGTCTCTTCCCTTTTGTTCTTTTCTTTCTTCTCAGCATTGTAAACAAACTGAGAAAGAAGACAAACAAACTGGTAGATGGCACTCAAATTATGGCCTTTGTTATTTTTTGTTATTCAAGACGTAAACACTTATTATTGATGAAGAGACAGATGTAGCTGAGCCTGAGCCAAGTCGCTTCATGGAAATGAACCTTAGGGCTTGCGTTAGTCACCTCTCACAGGCCTGGTAGGCTTAGGCAGGCCCCTGTGGGGTTCCGGTGCAGGAGCTGGGCAGGTCAGCTCCTAAGAGGACAGCAGCGGAGCAGGACTGTGCCTGGGCATGTGCGTGGTAAGAAGGTGGTGCTTCCAGGTCCTGACCTGTTGCTGTGGGGATAATACAATTTTGCCTTTGTGCCTTTGCAAAGAAACTGCCACTACTAGATGGACCCTCCCCGATTTCTCCCCCAAGGGAAAATCATCCTGCTAGTTGATCTGGAACTTGAACTTTGGCATATCTTCCTCTGTGAAATCTTCTCATTTATGGTCACTCCTCAGAATCAGAGAGGCTTAGTCCCCCTCCCCAATAGGCAAGTACTTCATGTAGACTTAGCTTTATAAATTTATTTGGTGTTGAAATTGTTTGACAATTGTGCTGTGAACATTTTTATTATTTATTTATTATTTATTTCATATATCTAAGTGTTCATTTATTTTTTAAATATACTTTTATTGAATTTTTGTGCATTCCACACACCACATCTTAATCATATTTAAACCCCCTCTCCCTATCTGCACCCCCCAGAGCCCCTCCCAGATTTCATGTACTCTGTCATATATGTTAAGGCCTATCAGGAGTTTGTGTATCCAGATGTCCCTTGGTGTGAGTTCATTGACTGGAACTTTTTCAGCCCATCTAGTGTCACTCCTTTAAAGAAGACCAGCTTTCCCTAACCCATCAGTGATCGGCTGTCAATAGTTCCTCAGCTAAGTTTGGGGCCTCCTGCCCATTTTCCCAGTTCTATGCTGGGTTTCGGTCTGATTGAGTTTGCATGGTTCCTGTGCATGCTGTCATTCATGCTATAAGTTCATATTACCAAGTCCCCAGAAGCCTATTGCCTATGGTCATGCACCACCCCTGGCTCTTACAATCTTTCTGCCCCTTTTTCTGAAATGGTCCTGTACCCTGGGTGGGTGATGTTTAATGTAGGAGTTCTGTCCAGGGATACACACTTTGCAGTCTCTTACTCTCTACACTTTGGCCAGTTGTGGCTTTCTGTACTGTGAACATTTTTATAAAAGTTCATGCACATATGCTAATTTATTAATGTCTTTAAAAAGATTTAGAAGTATATCCATCAAAGTGCTTAATCACAGCTGTGTAAAGAGGGACTTGGGCACATGAGGGTGCTCATTTATCCTTTGTTAGTATGTGTTTAGTTTACTTATATAGCACTTGAATTTTTATTTTATTTTTTGTTTAATTAATTTTTTATGTGTTGAGTATTATGCCCCTGCATGTAAGTGCACCCATATCGTGCAGTGCCTGTGGAGGCCAAAAGAGGGCACTGGATCCCTTATAACTGGAGTTGTGGACAGTTGTTAGCCACTATGTGGGTGATGGGAACTGAACCCAGGTCCTTTATAAGAGCAGCCAGTGCTCTTAACCACTGAGCCATCTTTCCAGTCCCAGCATTTGAAGTTTTAAATGATTTAGTGGTATTATTGTAAGACAAAGCATCTAAGAGACCAAAAGCTCATGTAGATTTTTGCTCTGTGTTTCCTCTGCTCCCTGTCATCTTAGTCACCATCTCATTGTGTAGCCCAGCCTGGCCTCCAACTTGCTATGTAGCTCATGCTGGCCAGGAACTCCCAAATATCCTGCCTTTCTACCCCAAGTGTTGGAATTACAGGTCTGAGCCACCTCCCCTGGCATCACCTGAATTTTGGACAGTGCTCTGCCCTCTCATGACCCTTCTTCTCCCCTTCCACTAGTCCTCAAATGACGAGTGGTATGATTCACTGGTAGGGCAGCATTAGTATCGATCATCAAGATGAGACTTGTCTTGGCACCATAGGTAGAAACAGCTTTGGTCTTTCCCAAATATCTCCTTGTGGAGGTCTTAGGAACCTGAACAGGTAGCAGGGGGAGATGGCTGGTTTCCTGCTTTAACTGCCTCTCTTTATCTTACACAGGTAAAGCCAGCGTGGACGGCCTGAAGGATGGGTAAAGACTTCCGCTATTATTTCCAGCATCCGTGGTCTCGCATGATAGTGGCTTACCTGGTGATCTTCTTTAACTTCTTAATATTTGCGGAGGACCCAGTTTCTCACAGCCAAACAGAAGCCAATGTTATTGTTGTTGGAAACTGTTTTTCATTTGTAACAAATAAATACCCTAGAGGAGTTGGCTGGAGGATCTTGAAGGTGCTTCTATGGCTACTGGCCATTCTCATAGGACTAATAGCTGGCAAATTCCTGTTCCATCAGCGCTTGTTTGGTGAGTAATGTAATGTTGCTAACTATTTACTTCTAGTCTCTGAGGCAGAGCTGCCTCACTTCTGAAAGTCAACGTCCGTTGCTCTTACTCCTTCAGCCTCAATTTGTGATGCACTCTTGTTACTAGGCAGCTAGGCTCTTTAACTATCCTGCGTTTGATGACATATTTCTCCTATTTAAGGAAAATTGTCATAAAATGAAATTGGCATCAAATTTCATTTAAAAAATGGTTTAAAAGATACATGAATGTGTATATGCCTCTGTAGAAAAGACCTGAAAATAGCTATAGAAACTTACTTGGTTGTTGAAATGACCTGATAACTAGACTGAGCATTTTTATAAAAGTTCATGCACATATGCCCATTTACTGATGTCTAGAAAAAGATTTGGGAGTATACCCATCAACTTGCTTAACCACAACTGTGCAGCCCTTGCTTTCTCTTAAATATTGCTGGTGTGGTCTAGGGAAGAGTTTTAAGTTGTTAAGACAATGTGTTCCTATCACACCACATTTTATTCAAATAAGCTAACTGCTAATCTTAACTTTATATAAGTTCCTTTTCTTTTCAGGGAATTAAAACCAGAACACTGTTTACTGTCAATTTAGAACTTTCTTTTACATTTATTTATTTGTTTGTGTGCTTCTGTGTATGTTTGTGTGCATGTATGCATGTGGGAATGCACACCTGTAGAAGTCAGAGGGCAACTTGAGGGGACCAGTACTCTTTCCATCATTTGGGTTTTGGGGTTTGTCAGGCTTGGTGACAAGCACCCTTACCCACTCAACCATCTTGCTGGCCCCATATCCTTATTTTTTTTCAAACTTTGGCTTTATGGTATTTATTTTGAACCTGTTCAGCAAAAGAATAGTGTATTATTATAAATTTCTTGGTAATAAATTTCAAAGCGACTAAATTAGTTTTAGTTAAAAATAACTAGTTATAAGGATACTGGAGTATTTCATAGATACCAAAGGGGAAATTCTTTTTGGAGTTTGCAATAAATGGAATTGGGGCCAAGAACCTGTCAGGATGCTTTTTGATCAGGTGTGTATCTATCAGTGAGATGAGCTTTATCCTCTGGGTCCCAATTTTAAACTTTTAAGGAAAGACTGAAGCTGATCCAATTGAGTGTATGGTTCCCACTACTGGCCTAATTGACTTTGGTGAATAAGTGAGTGATATTTATGCAACATTCACAGATCACTTATGGCACACCAGATCCTATGGTGTTCTAGTTTGCTTTCATATTGCTGTGATGAAAACACTGACCAAAATAAGCTTGGGGAGGAAAGGGTTTATTTAGCTTGCAAGTACAGTCCATCATCAGGGGAAGCCAAGGCAGGAACTCAGGGCAGGAACCTGGAGGCAGGAGCTGAAGTAGAGACCATAGAGGAACACTGCTTGCTGGCTTGCTCCCTTGGCCTGTGCTCAATCTTCTTTCTTATTTAATACCTGCTCAGAAGTGGCACTGCCCACAGTGGGCTGGGCATCCCACATCACTCAACAATCAAGAAAATGTCCCATAGACATGGCCGTAGGCCAGTCCAATGGAGGCAATTCCCCAATTGACAATTAAAGCTAACCAACATACTACGCTCTCCTGCAGAAAAGAGGTAAACAGATAAATGTGTAACACATGATGAGCTGATATCAGCTATGGGTAAAAGGAAAATGATCTTGAGTGCAGCAGCTGGGTCAAAGAGACTTTAATAACAGAGCACTGGATTTAGCAATTATAAGATCACAGGTGATTTAGGCTATTTTCAGGTGATTTAGACCCAACTGGGAATGTTTTAAAAGAACAAAAAATCAGTTATATATATTCACATAATATTACATAAACTATGTTCGTCCTCTCTCCTTTTTAACTTATTACCATCTGTTTCGTTTGCATAAGCATATAAAATGTACCTATTTTATAACCATTATCTATAAAAGTATGATATTGATATAATTGAACTTATCTTCTTGAACTAATAGTTCGAAGGAGTTCAGTGAAGCAATGAAAGAAGGAATGGAAAAGCAGATAAACGTGGAAGGAGGACTAGGCTAAAATTTTGCCATTAGGAGTTTTACTTTGTGGTGACATTAATTGGCCTACTGATAACTGGGGAGCATGGCTAGGTGGAAGAGAAGCCAACGATACAGAAGCATTTCTGAATGTCTTTTAGTCTGGGACTTAGGACGCAGGCAGAAATGATAGCCATACAGAGGACAAGAGCAGAGACTCCGTTCCTTGGATTCAGCCTGAGTGAGCATGGTTCTGTAGTAGGAATGACTGAGGGGGAGGGGGCAGGGGCAGGGAGGGACGTGTCTCCTCATCTGATGACCTCCACATTACTATGAAGAGCAGAAATAAAGATTAGCGGGGGGTGGGTGATGAGGGATTTAAGCACCTGGTTAAGGTTTGGAGCAACGACTCCAGGGTGCATGGAGGGGAATAGGCCTGGGACAAAGGAACGGGCTGCTGTGATTAATAGTCATCAGGGTTGACCACTTATAAATACTAGCGATACCAGTCTGAGCTGGTGAGCAGTTTCTCTTTGTGAGTGCAATCACCTCAAATGGATTTGAAAGTAATTCATCTGGGTGAGGATTGCTGACTTGCTGTATTGCAAACAAAAGTTGGTAAAGGGGGATCTGGCTGGACAGCAAGGGAGATGAAGGAGATAACAGTCTAGAAGGAGCCCACAAAGGCTTGAAGGTTTAGGTGAACTCAGGTATTCCAGAGTTCAAGTGAGGGGAGGCAATAAAAGGAAGAGAATTGGTGGGTGTGGTTGAGTGGCAGTACTTGTAGTGATGATTCCCAACTAGAGTGTGGACTTTAGGACTACACTAGAGAGACAGGTCATTGACACAGAAGATACATAGGAAGCTGGTGTGAGTTGCTCACCTACCAACTATGGAATAAGCATGGTGCTGTGCATAGTAATCATATGGGTAGAAGTAGTTAAGGGTGGGTAGTGAGTGTAAGAGGATCAGTTTCCAACATGGGTAGGGAGTGTTGGGAAATCAAGTCAGGAAGAATTCCTTCCAAGCAATGGCTACATGTGTTTGTGAACCATTCAGGAATTTTATTAATGTAGCAAGTTATGGAAAATGGACCAGAATATTTAGGCAAGAGGAAAGCTGTCTGAATTTATTAAAGAATGACTGACAGGCATTTCATTAAAGTAACAGTGTTATTAGTAAAGGTAAGTGATTTGGTTTTGTAAGTGCTTCATTTTGTTAAGCTATTCTCCTACAAACTCTCGCCTCTTATACTGAAATCAAAATTTATTCACGGCTTGCATTTCAGTTCTCCTGTTAGGATAAGAAATTTTGACCTCCATTCATTCTAGATGTCAAGTGGTTTGTTTAATAAAAATTATTTAAAAAATAATACAAATGTGTATCTTTGTTGCTTACAATAGAAAAAGATTCTAAAATGCCAGTTTTATTACTTGCATTTGGCAATTTCTTATTTTTCTCACTCAAAAGCTATGAAATTATATATATATTTAGAGAAGGAATAATGTCTGGTAAGTCTTCGTAAGATGAGTGGACACCTGGTCCAGCTTCCTGAAGAACTAACTCCAAGCTTGCCTTCCGTCCTTCTTTCTGGCTGTTGCTTTTCTCTTGGCTCATGAACTCCGAATCACTTCCTCCCAGTATTTCTCTCCTCTTTCTGTTTGTTATGATTATAGAGTGGCTTCTGTACATTGCTAAGTGACTCCTATCAGCTAGAATGGAATCCATGCTCCTTTGATAGATGCCCTGAGGCTCTATTACTGAGCCACGCCGACTCCACACCCGTTCCCTTGGCTTTCTGCTGCCTGGCATTGTGTGCTGCCCTCAAACCAGCTGTGGCCCTCACTTTGCCTAGTGGTCTCACTTGCTCTCCTTACTCCCCCTCTGGTCACCTCAGCTAACTTCTTTCCCTTTCAAATCCCAGTTCAGCATCATCTCCTTTGTGATGCCTTCTGACTCTCTTCCATCAGACTCTGGTCATCTGACAGATGGTGCACCTGTGACCACTTGCTCCAAAGCCTTATAGCAGGGTGCTCTGAGCTGACAACAGCCTGCAGCCTTGCGGGAAGGAATCCAAAGTTTAATGCAAACACAAAAGTTCTTATTGGCATGGTATGTGATAAATGGTTCCGTCTTGATTCCCAAATAACTAGCATTTATACATAATTCATTTTTAAAAGGCTATATTTAAGTCTTCAGTGCTCTGAGGAGGCAAACTTGTGGGTGATGATGATGATGGTGTGTACATGCCAAGCGAGTTCCAGTGAAGTCACAAGCCCAGAAAGTTTTGCTACAGCAATACTGGGTTGGTTTATAAAATGATTAGAGTAATTTTGTGATATCTATTAAACAGTCTCATCTCTTGTAATTCTCTGATAAAATGCCAGACATAGATGTTAAATAATGCCGCAGCATCCCTTCATTTCACTGTCAGTCTCCTCTCCTTTGGTTTATTATGGGGAATCTCAGTAAACTTCAACAGAATGTGATAGTCGATTTGCAGCCAAAGAGAGGAACACTGAATGATGCTGAGAGCAGTTCTTTGACTGTTGCTCATCTGCTTGTGAGACACAGTGTTACAGTTACAGTTTTATTGCTATTCAAAGAGTAGCATAATTTTTTGTTTTATTTTTGAGACAGGGTGTCCCACTAAATTTTCTTCTTCCCACTCTCTGGTTGACCCGCCCTCACTCTCTTAGGGTCCCATGCTCACGGGTGGGTAGACAAACCACATAACACATCTTTATCTGAATTTCGCATAGTTTATACCTTTGGGTGGGGTGGGGGGAGAAATGACTTACAAAGAAACGAACACCCGCTGCCCAACTCTGCGCGTGGCTCAGCGGCCCACCGTTCCAGATCGCTTTATGCCCACGGTCCACCTCAGCTCGTCTCCCGCATGCCCACTCGCCCCACAGAGTTCCGTGCAGGGTCCACGGGGGTCCTCACAAGGTCCCCCTGCGACCCACCAGGTCCAGGGCAGGCTGGC